TACAATGGCCATCACTCATTGCCGTCATTTCTCTCTCTTAAATTTTCTTTGATTTTTGAATGTCTTTTCTCTCTTTATTCTTTTATTTTTAAAATATCTCTAACATCATCATTATCATCATCTAAGTCTTATCCCAATTATATCGGATCAACTACATGAATCTTGTTTTATCGGTCTATTCTATTTAGGGCTATATCCATCATCAAATTATTTCCACCCAAATTATTTGAACTGTGGCTTGTGAATGAGTTGAATGATTCACCAATTCAACTAGTTGGGTCAATATTTTGTTTTAACTAAAGGCAATGGTTTTTTGTCTATCAACATATTTAAGAAAAAATAAACCAACATTTAAATACGGCTGATGGGTTGAATGGTCCAACCTTGTACGTAAGGAGTATAAATATAAATTTATAGAGTACAAAACCTTACATTTTATATGTATTTATACTGTATATATTTATATTTGTACTCCTTCCAAACTGAATCTTAAGTCCAAACAGCATATACCTAAAGTGGGATTAAAGTCTGAGTTTTAAAACTTAAGGGGTTGTTTGATTTATTAAACATGTAATTATAAGCACTGATACTTAGATTAGATATAAAGTAGTTTAATACTTTTAATTAGAGGCATGACCAAATGTATTAGAAGGGCGTTCAAATCAATCCCCCATAAGACTGCGCCCCACGACATCCCACATCACATCCCTGCCATGTATTGAGAATATCTCTAAATGATGATATCATCATTTCTGATATATCATCAGAAGATATTCTCAATACACAACGGGATGTACTACGAGAGGTTGTGGGGCGCAATCTTGTGGGGGACTGATTTGATCTCATTAGGAGGCCAACAACCTAAACCACCTACTGAATGTCACAGTCCAGCTATTCCATCGACATCATTCCCAAAGTTGAAGCACAGGGTTGACCCTATGCACAGCTGGAGACTCTTCATGACATGGCCAGTGGCCTCACGTGCAATCTGTGTTGTCCCTAGGGCCCACCCTAGAGTCTCTACTAACACTGACCAACTGACTTCTGTTTGGGTCCCACCTTCAATCTCCTCATTCTCCTCTCAAGAGTGCCTAGAACAATGCTTAAGAGGGATTTAAAATTTAAAAGAGAAGAAATGAGGCTAAGGCTAAGAATAGCTGTCCATATCGTAAGTGTTTCTTCAGTTGACTCTGGGTGCTTTATGTATTCTCTTTTTCTTTTTTTTTTTTTATCTCTGAGATGAGAGATACCTATTTACCCACATACCTGACCCCACTTGCAGGGTTTGGGTCCACCAAACATTGAATTCTGTAATTGGATTCTTTACGTCTCAGACCTGTTAGGGTTATGTCCAAATCTGTACTTGATTTGCAGGTACCCAACATACATGTTACTATGACTCTTGAAATTTAAAAAAGGAAGCAAATAAATCCACTTATTTCATTTTGTTTTTAATTGTATACAAGAATTATAAAATTATTGTGAAACATCATTGTTCTCTTACATAGTTACATGTTCTCAAGTTAGTATCATTTCCAAAATACTTTGTAGGTATCTATCTATTTATATCTATCATAAGCTAAGTAAAATTGCAATTTGAGTCAGAAATGAATCAATTGTTTATTCTTCTTTTAAGGTCTATTTGATTTGTAGCTGAAATCAGAATCAAAATTCATTAGAATCAGAATTGGAATGGTCTATTCCCATAACTTGTTTGATTCAGATGGGAATCAGAATTAAAATTGAAATAAGTTGAAATGATATCTCATTCCTAAGGGAGGGGGAGGGAATGACCATTCCCTCAAATTTGAGGTGGACCCTTAGAAATTATTTTAACCAAAGAGACCAGTCATTTTACCATTGCAGCATATATATGTAGTGTAGTCCATGCCTATTGTCCTTGAAGCTTAAGATGAAGGCTTACTGGTGATACTCATCTCCTACGTTGTTAAATAACTTTATTACTTGGGGAAAATTGCCAACAATTGAATGGGATAAAATTGCTCCTTTTAATAATAACTTTTTATGGCTAAAACAGTCATTATCTTATTTATCGGGAAATAAAAGAATATGAATAAATGCATTTACCCTGATAAGTATTTCCTAAAAAACATTTATCCAGAAAAGTAACTTCCCAAAAAACAAACGGGACCCAAGAATCAGGGAGTATAATTCCTTTGAATTAAGCGATACATGAAAATTGATACAGAACCGTATCAATATTTTCTTTGAACCTGGAAGAGGTACACGCTTTACTATTTCTCTTTTGGGTGGGTAGTTCCATTGCCTGTTCGATATCATTGTAGATGACATGCATGAAGGACAGAGGTACCAGAGTGTGCTATATATCGTAGAATGTTATTGTTTGTTCAAGCAAAGAACCCTTTTTCTCCTGTGCGTTTTTATTCAGTTTTTCGAAAGAAGTTGGGATTGATTTGGTTTTTCTTCACCTTCTATGATATAAGACTAGAAGTTCTTTTGTCAATCTAGAAAGGTGTTTGGCAGAACTGTGATGTGTGGTGTTTCCAATGTATGAATTAGTCATGTAAAAGAATTGGAGGAAGCTAGGGGGAGTCATGTTGGCTAATCCTCATTTCATCAAAATCAGCAATGGAAATGCTTATTTCACCAATTTGATTTTATTGCAATGTCCATTGTTAAATTGAGAGAGCAGCACTTAAACAATTTCTACACTTTTAGCCCTTTGGACTTGCAACAAATGTATGCAGATCTACTATCTTATAGGTTTTGTCTATCCATGTAATCAGACCATCTTGATCTACTATCTCTTATTATAGGATCTATTCCCGGGTCCGGGTTCCTTTGAATAAATTCATTTCTGACCCTATCCGTTTTAGACTTAATATTGCATTGCATGGACTCTTGTAAATGGGAATAGACTTGTATAGACAAGCCTAGGAGTTCAACACTCCCTGAATTCTTTTGGTCACTCTCACTTCCACATACAGGGTTGGCTACACAAATCCTATTCAACCATGTGTCATTTCAATTATTCAAGTATTGGCGGTAAATTTAATTTTTACTATTTCAACTCATGTCCTTTTGGGTCTTTCTAGACCCTCTAACTTGTAGCAAAATAACTTATTCTTAATGGTTTTGTAGATTGTCTTCTCTACATGTGTCCAAACCATTTTAGTCTACTTTTTCTCATTGGGTCATTTCATGTAAACAAACAACTAATTTGGCAAGATAAATGCCATTCTTTTTTGTATCAAACATTATTTAGTGATAATGTATTAATATTTTTATACAGATATATAATTAGAATTCAAAAAATATGGACAATTCTAGCGGCTTGTACTTTTCCTTAAATGGCTCCACAATAAATCCTTATTTTTTTATCATTTTTATATTATTAAATATTACACATTACCCCTCAATTTGGAAGGAGTGCAAATACAAATATATACAGTATAAATACATAATTTTGCACTCAACATATTTGTATTTATACTCCTTCCAAACTGAGCCTACAGGGTGCACATAAGGTCCACTAAGCTTGAGAGTCTGAATTCGGGTTGGGTCAATGCAACGCCTGCTCGAATAGTCTTTATAGCCTTGCATTGAAAATATCTTGGTAGTTATATATTTTATGTCATGGAAAGATATTCCCAATGCAAGATTGCAAGAGGCTGTTCGAACGGTATAAGCACGGGCTACCTATAATGTGAATTTAATCCTGTACTCTGTTTTTTGAGGGACGCCCACTGACTATCTCAACTATTGTTTTTACCATGTCATGCCTATACTGCAATATGGCATATTGAACAGCAAATACCAGACTAATTCTAATGACTTATCACATGCATCCTGAACACATCATAATTGGAAAATAAATGACAGTGACGCTTTAAAACCCTTCAACATTGTTTTTACCAAACAGGTCATCAAATATTGTGACAATATTTATGATGTTGGGTTGCTGATTAAAGGAGAAAATGCCAATGCTAAAATTTGTAGCCATTCCGATTTCCAAACACCATTCTGATTACTTGTTTTCACAACCGAAAGCAACTTCCAGCTCTGCCTCTGCATTCTTTTACATCTCCATGTTCATAAATGGATAATTAAAAACAATAGTATGGAGGTTGATAAAACCCCAAGTGGGAGGTGGGCCCCTTTTGATTTGTATACCTTAATCAGGGAGAATCAAAGACAACATTAAATGTGTGGGTACACTCTTTATGTAAGCATTTGATGTTGACCATCCTTGTTTCTGAATTTATTATTATATATACATCTGAATTATTATTGACAGAATGTGCCATCAATTTTGCTAAGTACTTGCTTCATGAATCATGAATGACAAATAGATCAATTTGGATGTGGGACCTATCGCCATTATTCTACCTCTTTGATGAAACTCATACAATTCTCGGTGGAATCGACCAGTATGGCACTTTGTTTGATTAGGAAAATAAATGGGTTCATTCTCTCCTTTTCCCTTTTTGATTTATTGATCATTGATGTGCAGCCATGCTTCCTCCACCAATTGAGGGGCTGGAAGGTGATGATAGTGATTTGTAAGCAGAGGGGCGTTTGATTGGGGCACGCCCCATTTTTGGTAGTGCACACATCAATAGACAGGGCTTTATCTGTCTTTTCAGTAGGGATTTGACAGATATTAACGACCCCAGATAGGGAAAAGAGGGTATTTTAGTTAATTACACTAGAAACGGGGACATAATAGCCATTTGAGGTGGTCAAGGAGGTTTCTAACATTCTATCACGTGGAAGGACGGATAAAGTAAAAGAATGAGAGAGAGAGAGAGAGAGAGAGAGTAAAATCAGATTTACTTTAGCGGAGAGAGAGAAGAGGGAAAGGGAAGGATCCGTGCATCGTTAAAAAATTTACTGGTGGGGTTCTCGAAATAAAAATGTATAAAATAATGTTAATAAACAAATAAACACAATTTCTTTCTCCCATATAGAATTAGTATGAATAATTAAATTGAAAATCCAAGGAAAGTTCTTTCAAGAAAAGGCTTTAGTCTGTCATTAAGCAGTGAATAAACGAAAGTTGATGATACACGAGAACAAACTCACATACAGATACAGAGGGAGAGAGAGAGAGATTCTGTATGTAGCTTGGCTTCCAATTTCCTGGAAGTTTTCTTTTCCCTGTTTTGAGCTGTAAGGGTTGTGGTTTCTGGAATCTGGTTTCCGGTTTTTGTCAGAAATGTGTGGGTAGCAAGCACAGTTACACCGCTCTCACTTGGGTTTTCACCTGTGAAAGATGGTTTTGCATGCTTGCTCAAGGTGGTATTCGTGTGCTTTGCCGCAATGATGGGCGTTTTCTACTGACAGGTAAGTGGGTGTCTCTTGTTTTCCATTTTCTTTAATGGATTCTTGTTGTTTTTCTTTAATTTTTCTCCCTGTTTCTTGCGGCATTGCTACAATTCCACCGGCTCTTTACTCTGTTCTTTATAATTTTCTGTTAAACTTACCCTTTTATGTTCTTGTATTTGGGTGAGGTAAGTGGTTTTTTGTTTATCAACTTCTCCTAGTGTCTCTGATCTGTTCGATCTGTTGTTTTGAAGCATGATTCGGTTGTTTATTCTTTCTAACATGTCATGTATTTAATTTCGAGATAAGTGAGTTTCTCAGTGCTTCTCCTATCACTCACATTTCTATTTTTTACTTAATGTTGGGTTGTTTTTGCCTTTCCTTAATTTTGGTGATGCCAGGTTATACGACATTGCATGTTTCAGGCCAGTTCTTTAGCTTCTTTGCAAAATGCAAGATTTGGCATTGTCATTTGGAGTAATGCTAGGCATTTATTCTTTTACTTCTTTTTGAACTAGACTTTTTAGTTTGGCAGTGCGAAACAAGGCTAGCTTCTGATAGATTTAGAAACCTTTCAAAGTTCACTTATGAGAAATTGTATCCTATCGTAAGAAGATTTGTGGTTGTGAAGTAATATTTCATTTACACATAGTGATCTGGAACAATTTAGACAGAGTGAATTTCTAACTAAAAATCCACCTTCAGCAGGCAAAAAAGGACGGTATCTACTAAAAATATCTTCTGTTTACTTTCTTTATCGTTTAACTATTCTAACGTTTTGTTATTTATGCTCTTTCATTATTTCTGCTTTCCTGTTGTGGTACTTTAGTGCTTGGTTGACTGTTTGTTTCTTGCTTCCTCTTTGGATCTAGGGTTTTCTTTTCACTGTGATTTTGTTGACGAAACCCAAAGATGTTTGCGTTACTAATTATTAGGAATAAAAATTACATCATTGCAATAACTCCAGAATTTCATTGGTTCTTTCCATAAGATCTGCAGTTCTACACTGTATGTTCATTTTTAAACATTAGTCTTACCAATGCGTAACAGACGGTAGGAAACTTTTAAGTGGTTTGAGATCAAGCTTCAAAGTTAGTGGTGGCATTGGCAAAGAGTCCTGAAAATTTTCTTGTCTGATAAATTGGTGAAATAACTTTGGAGAATGTGATCAAAGGAAACTCCAATCATGTGTTGGTTGCTTCCCTGATGGTTCATGTCTGTTATGACATGTTGTAAAGGAAGCTGTTTCCTTGGAAACTCAGAGAATGAATTATTCAATTGGGTTCTGTGATCAGTAATTCCTTTGTGGAGAACCTTGCTGGGTGGGGGAGCTGGAGAAACGCTATTTATTGGGGAACAATGACTCAGATAAGAGTAACTGATAATAATTTGCCAAGATGAAACTGATTCTTAATGGTGTTGAAGGTTAATCTGCATTTTCTGGGAGGTAAAATTAAAGTTGATTTGCTTTATGACAAGAGATCAATGAACATCTATAAAATGGTTAAGTTCATAATGCAAAATGAGGTGCAGAGATACTCTTATCAAGTAATTTTTAATAAGCACGAGCCAGTCAATCTTGCAATGGTTGGTCAACTCTGACATCTGGAATGGCTTTCATCTATTTGAATATAATTCTTGATGATGTCGACAGGAATTCCTGTTGACAAAACAGTGTAGACCCCCCAAAGATCTGACTAAACCAATTAATATGGTAACAGAGCATTCCTCTTGCTGTTGCTGGAGGACAAAGATAGGGTTCATGGAGATGGATCCAACTAGAAAAATACTTTTGGTACATACAGTTAGTGAATCCTGTGTCAATATAAAGGAGAGAAAAGGCATTAGTATTGAGGTAGAAAATAGACTACAGCTTCAGAAACTTAAGATGATACCAACTTAAAAGATGTTGAAACATGGTAAGGGAAGAAAACACACTTGTTATAGGCAATTCTTTAAGACAAGGAGGTCATGTCATAACTTATAAGGAGATTTCCGTGGGTAGCATCTCTAGTTGTTTCACCTTTTTTTCTGATCACCTGCTGAATTCTGTAAATTCACTTTTCTGAATAATTGTTACATCATGTTTATGGGCTAAGGCAACTGTCCTTTTCATTGATAGATGTTAAATTGGTTAGTTTGGACAATTTGTTGAGAAGATTCTAAATTGATGGAGACATAACTGTCATGAAAGCACACCTTTCGGGAAAAAAAATAAATAAATTAGCAACCATGAAGTTACTTCTGTGCATCAAGGTTATGAAACGGAAAGCCAATCTCCTTGGACCATAATGTGAATGAAAGGTTTAGGAGAAGTCAGCGAAGAGTCAAGTACCAATTCATTCAAACTCGATGTGGAGGGTGAAAAGCATATATGATAATGTAAATGTTTTAATCTACTACAGAAGACAAAGAACTATCTTGCTAGGGTATGGGGATTCAGCAATTCTCATTAATTTGTTAATCTTTATTTTATGTAAATTTGAATTGAATTTTTAGATTAAAAAATATTTTTAGTTGAATCCTTATGCCCTTTCTGTGGTTTTGAGTTTTGTGAAGGTACTCCAATGGTGTGAACATGGATATGATAATAGGGTAGTAATGCATTCTATAGTATTTTTCAGCTAAATAGAGTAATAGACAGTTCATTTGCATGGGGGTTTATAGCATACAGTCAAATGACTTGCTGTTGACATGTTTTTATCTGGTTATGGTTGAGGAAATTTTGCATGGCAAGTGCCTAAACAGATTCTTATTTTTCCTTGTGCATTTTAACACAATTCTTGTCCATACTCAACCATAATTAACAACAAAGAACACCATGATAAATAAAGTTGCACCTTTAGGTGTCTTTGCTGCCAAATGAAAGCACAGCCATTTTAGATGTCACAAGGAAAAATCATCTCAAGTAAATATTTACAAAAAAGTAGAAGTAAAACTATGTCCAAGACATATGAGTTATCCTCTTGCAAAAAATCAAGTGTTGACCTTTCAAATGATAAAAACAGAGCTAGGTCTGCAGCTTTTCTTGAGAGACTTTCAGGCTAACTCTTACTAAATGCTTGGATGGTTAACTGTTATTAATTTCCTAGGATTCAAGCAATACAGTTCTACCTTGTATTGTAGATACCTTTACGTTGAAATTAAGATGGGAATATCAACCTCTTGTTATTCACCAAATCATAAATTATGTATCTATGTCACATTTGTATTGTTTTTTCTTTTTTTTTTTTTATATAGTGGATGCCTAGCCGCTCCCATATAGTTGGGGCAAGGCTTAGGTTGAGTTGAGTTGTATGTAGTGGGTGCCTAATATAATTTTGTCAAAATGGATAAGGGGGACTGCAGGAATGTCCTTCATGTGGTCGTATTTCTTGTGTGGTTTGCATACTTAGCCGCTCCCATATAGTTGGGGCAAGGCTTAGGTTGAGTTGAGTTGTATGTAGTGGGTGCCTAATATAATTTTGTCAAAATGGATAAGGGGGACTGCAGGAATGTCCTTCATGTGGTCGTATTTCTTGTGTGGTTTGCATACTTAGCCCCCTTAAGTTTGATAAAACATATTTATATTTTGTCTTCCCCTTTCCCGTGGTGGAGTTTCTTGTTGTGGTTTGCATAAGGCTAATATTTTTCTTTTTTTTTTTTGTTTTTTCCCCAAATGTATGCAGATCAGAACCATGCATTGACCATATCCTGGTTTCAGCCTTGAAAGAAAAATATGAAATCAGGATCAAAAGGCTGGAAATCCATCATGCCTCTTCGTCTGCGAGGCAAGGCAGCCACTCGCTTCTGCATGTTCCCAAAAGTGAAGTCAGCAGGCTATGGTCCAGGTGACATCCCCGTTTACCTCAATGTTTATGACTTGACACCCATGAATGGCTACGTCTACTGGGCAGGCCTTGGGATCTTTCACTCTGGTGTGGAAGGTATTACTTACATTTTAGATTAGTATAATTTTTTAATTGTGTGACCTACAATACTTGTAGTCCTTAGCATAAATTCTTGATCATATTTGAGCCTTGAGTGACCTTAATCTACTGTAGATTTTTGAAATGATTATACTAACTGCATTTTCTCCCCTGGTTACTGGTTATCTTTCATGCCATTTTATAAGCACAATTAGTGAGGACCAGCTGCATTAGCAAAGTTTGACTATTGTTCTTTATAAAGCACTAAAAATGCATGTGTTTCTGCTGAGATTTGTCTCATCTCCACATGTCCAGGATCAGAGTGGATTTGGAGTCAGGAAGTTGACTTGGGGAGTCATGTTACAATTTTAGAATTTTATGAATGTGGTTATAGTAAAATATATTTTGTTCCTATAATAAAATTTACACAAATTATATATTTTTTTCATTGTTCCTATACTCATCATTTGTTTGTCTGTGTGCTTGTCTTATTATTATCATCATTCCCATTAAATTTCTACATGTTTGAGTTTGGGTATATGAACACTGTTTATTTTGGGGAAGGGCCCATCTATAAGTGAAACATAAAAGCTGTTGTGGACAAGTAAATCAAACATCTGACCAATTTAAAGTGTTCTCTTGTGATTTCCAGTTTCTGGGTCCCACGAATTCACTCCATGTGGCTGAAGAAATCAATTAAGTAGCACACATATGCTAGATGACCAATTTGCAGGCAGTGCTGTCATGTGGTGAAGTTATAACTGGGTGTTTTGGCCTCCTTAGTTGATGTAATGACCAATTGATGCTAGGTGCTGACTAGTCAGCTACAAAAAAAGATACATTCTAAATTGAAGATATTGACAAAATTTGATATATAAGTTATTATATGCAATAAAAGAGTGGAATAGAACATTTAGCTTACAGTTTTTGTTTTAGAAGCAATAAGGGAAGCTGGATAGGCTAAGATAGGGAATTACAACCTTTGTTTTGCATAAATAAAGAGCTAACTTTTACTTTTTGATGGTGCCATACTGCCATCGTAAATGCTTAAAGCAATAAGTGTGTGTAACCTTTAAAATAACTTTGTGGCTGATTAAGTTGATTAGTCATTAGTTGACTAATTGAGTAGTTGATAGCATCTGAGGTGACTGCACGCACCATGAGTATCAACTAACTAGTATGAGATTTTTCTGTTAGTTTCATGAAAATTCTACAATTTTTATCTTCTCATTTCAAATAATCTCATTAAGATGAATTACAAACTTACTGATTGCCTGCATGCATGTTTTTAGTTCATGGTGTAGAATATGCCTTTGGAGCCCATGATTACCCAACAAGTGGTGTCTTTGAAGTGGAGCCTCGGCAATGCCCAGGATTCAAATTTAGGAAGTCAATATTCATGGGGACAACATGCTTGGACCCGGTTCAGGTCAGGGAGTTCATGGAGCGCCACTCTGCAAACTACAAAGGCGATACATATCACTTGATTGTTAAGAATTGCAACCATTTTTGTAAGGATGTTTGCTACAAGCTGACTGGGAACCCAATTCCCAAATGGGTGAATCGACTTGCAAGAATAGGTATCTGATATAATTGCTTATCATACCACCAGCTACTTTGTTGTAGATTATTGACAATGTTTACACAATGTTCTGCCTATTCTTTTAATTTATAGCATTTCATATTTGAACTCTTTTTATATTATTGGTTTTCACAGGTGATCAAACTCCTAGACTATTTTGCATTTACCCATGCATGGTGTTCTATATTTCTATTGAGTATACATTCTTCTTTCAAAGTTCCAATATTTTCTTCACCCATGGAACATTTTCAACAGTGTATAGGTATCTAAATTATTCTGTTTCGATGCATACTCTACTCAACTCAACTCAGCCTTAACCCTGACCATTTTGGGTCAGGTACAGAAATCCTGTCCCACCATTATGCTCTATGAAGATCCATGCTTTCTGTCAAATTACAAGTCTTTAAATAATATTTACCATATTTTCTTTTGTCTTCCCCTTGCTCTTTTAGAGCATTCTACTTGCATAGACGGTCTTTATACAACTATTTTGCCGCATGGAATTCTTATTTAATATAATTATATAAATAAGGGGTTTTTATCGTTCACTCCATCTCAGAATTCATAATACAATCACAATACAATCATACAGTTTGGGTCAATATCATGGGGGGGGGGGATGGTGTTTATAGGGGGAGCTAGGCATAAATACTTTGGGAAAATTGACCGATTCTGAGGTGGACTGAACCGTAAAAGTCCCTATAAATAAACGCTGTTTTCTGACCAATTTCTCTACCAGGGAAATATTCCCATGTCCCATGCACGAATGGAGGTAAGCATATTGTTTTGCATTTTCATTTAAAGTTTTTTACCGATTTCTCATAGAACCATATTTGACTCATGAAGAGGAAAATGCTGTTTCAATTGTCTCTTCTGTGAAATGGATAACAAACTTTCAAACATTCAATTGTCTTTCCTCACCAAATGAACATATGCCATTTCGTATGGTTGTGTTTTTTATTTATCAGGTTTTCTTTGGATGCTCTCTTGCCAGGGGGAGGGAAAATGATATTTCTCAGACTGTGTGCATTTTTAACCATTTTTATGACTCCATTCACTTTTCTCATCAAGTCATAGTAAATGGTTCTGGTGAAGTATGCTTGAGCCATGCAAGTATGTGCATTCATGGTAGAAAAGAGTGGTCCATTCTAATACCTTCTAGTTGATCTTGTGAAAAATCATTGTCAACATATGATTGGGTGGAAAGTTACTTGTAGTGGTAAGGCTTATGGTGTTTACATGTTTGAATATTGGCTCTGTTTGTGTGCTACTGAAAATGGGATGGTGGATTCATTATCAAATCAAGGGGTTAATAGGCAGCAATTATTTTAGGCAAACGTGTAACTCATTCTTGTTGTAAACATGAGCTGTTGGAACTTTCCAACTTTTTGCTTGTTCTAATTCAGATCAAACTTAATTAATAAAATTCTTTTTTGACTATCAAGAAAAAACTCAAGCAGTGAAACCCTAGTGATCAACGCATACACTTGAAAATGGATAAAACACAAGGCATTTTTATTCACCAAAGTGTCCCTGGCATATTGCTCTTCTTTTCATAGATGCATTGACAAGAATGTCCATAGGTTTGGCACTAGTCGAGTTACTTGGCATTCTGATGCAGGAACCAAAGAGTCAAAATTGCACTAATCTAACCTAATCAATCTCTGCTTTTAGTCCTAACATCACCTCTAAATATATCCTAATCTTTTTAGACTCAATTCTTTGGTCATTCAAGTCCTACATCAATTGGTATCAGAGGTGGTGATCCTACATCACATTCTCCATGGTTTACATTATTTGGCTTGGAGATTGGGTTGGTTGGGTTTTGGTTATTTAATGTCTCAAGTAAAAAATTGGTAGTTCTGATGGCAAGAAAGGAGCTAGTATTCCAATGCCACCTACATTCTTCGAATCAACAATGAAACTTCACTAATCATCCAAAGAGAGGCAAACAGTGTATAAATATCTCAAGTTCTCAACTTATGCATTGACTGAACGTTGGTATTAACATGGGGACAAGTAAATACTATATTACACGAATAATCTAAGACTGCAGGAACAATGAAATTTCATAAAATTGATAAAGAAAACAATGAAATTTCATAAAACTTGGAAAGATTATTAGATGTTGCTTTCCTCATGGTCCCTTTTTTAAGAGTTTTTTAACAGCCAAGATTATTACTGATTCTAACTCAAGAGCATCATCATGTTACAAGTTAACCTTACTACATATAAAGTCCTTGGATTTGTAAATTTATTGAACCTCTTTTCTCTTGGTCTATTTTCCTTTTATTGTTAATACTAGAAGTTTAGAACTATGACTGTTTACTTCTCTACACTATAGAGGCCCTATAACATTGTAACTATAAAATCATTCACTAAGATGTTAAACTCTACAATTTTCTGTGTAGTACACATTGTTGTCTAATATTCTTTCCACTTGATCTATTGAATTCTTTCATATGGCTGACAAACACATTAGAAAGAATGTGTGTGTGTGTGTGCATGTGCGACACACACTATGGTATTACCTTCTCTTGTCTTTTGGGGGTTGGAATGTCTGGTGAAATCTCCCAAGTGTGAGTCTAAACAGTGGGCCCAATGTCTGATGCGTGCTACATTTACTTCTATGCTGTTGGTGAATTGTTTATTGGTTTTTCATATTGCTTTGTTCGCTGCTATGTTTCAAACAATCATATATGTATCAACGGTCATGATTTTGGTATTTGAGCCTTTTTTTCTTCTCTTGGTGCATAGGTTCACTTTGCAGTTGCTTGCTCCCTGAGGCTCTCAAGGTATCTGCTGTTCGGCATGATCCCAATTATCAAGAATATGATGACAGTGAAAAGAGGCGGCTGAGAAGTGCCTTCAGTTGCTTGTCTTCAATTTCAATGCGGCAGAAGCAGTTGTCTACTTCTTCATTGTTTCTACATTCACCCTTGAAAGGGTGCCTTCCACCATGGGAGTTCAGAAGATCTAACAATGGCTCCTTGAAGGAAAGGTAAGAAGGCTGCTTCTTTCTTTTTTTTCCTCATCTGGAGTGATAGAATGGTTACAATCATCTTTTCATAACTAGGAACAATTGGAGGATTTCCATTGCTTCTAGTTATTATTGGTAGTTTGGTTTCTCCACAAAGTTTTAGGATGGAAATTTCTCTCTCTCCCTCCCTCTATCTCTCTCTGCAATGTTCTTTCCTATTTTTTGGGGCAAATCTTCTCTTCTTTGTAAAACGGTATTCTACTTTTAAAAGTTAAAACCCTTAAGGTGCAAGTTATTTTCTTAACAGGAGAAGAAGCAAGAGGGATCGCAGTTTTGTTCTCAAGCCATTTTCTTAGCAGGAGAACCCAGATGGCGGATGGCAACTCTGTTACCTGAGTTCCTACTGGCTTCCCAATGTCTCCGGTTTTTTCATGCTTGTGAAAAGTTGTTTCAAGTTTCAATGTATTTGTTGGGGAAACCTTCTCTCTCGTTCATCCAGTCTACTATGTGGCTTGTTCATGGACCAGAGGTCTAGTTATCCAGAGTTTCTTAGGCCAAAATGAAGCCAATGGTTCAGACCTGCCTGCCTACTGTATGAAATTTTGTCTATATGGTACTACACTTGGATTAAGGCTCATTTTAAGGTGGTACACTGGTTCTAGCTAGGTTTCAGTGGAGCCTAGAGACACAAAAGGCTGTTTTATGTCACTGAATTTCCTGTTGATATTTGTCACGAACCAATGGAACGTTGTGGTTTGAATTGGATGCAGGATTAGTGTTAATTGAATGTTATAGTTGTTTCTCATGAATATACTCAGATTATTTTCACAATGCGGTAGAAAGTTTGTATTTTGGTCGAAAGCAGGGTAGTGTCCCGTCAAGCTCCAGTTCCCAATTAAAAGATGCTCTTCCTACTCCCTTACACCATTTAAATATGTCTACCCACCATGCAACTTAAATGCAGTCTTGAGTTGCATGTAAATGAAAAAAATGATGTCTAAGAAAATGAATGATAATCTTCGGATGTTTCACTTGGAAAACATAACCTGAATATAGAAGGTAAATATACTAATGTTGCAAGATATGAACCAAGATATTCAAATTCTTTTTTTTTTTTTTGCTAAAAGAAGATATTCAATATCTGACGAGAGGATTATTTGAGGAAAATGAGGTATGTCGTTCTTCTATAATTAGTATTCATTCTTTATGGAAAATATTTAGAGCCATTTTATGTGTCCAAATACTATAAAATATCACTTAATCCACCTTTGCAGTAGGGGTGTCAATGGACTGGTTTTAGATTGGATCCATCCAAATCAAAATCAATTTAGACGGATTGGATGAACCAATAAGACATTGAATTGAACTAGTCCAAACTTAATGGTCCAAAGTATTTATTGAAATGGATTGGACCTGATCCATCCATAACGGATTTATATTGGATTGGGTTGGAATGAGCCAATATTTAATCCATTGATAGAAGATAAGAATATAGGTGTGGAAGGACCAGACGTTGAATTGGACCAGCCCAAAATGGTCAAATATTTATTGGATTGGATTGGACCAAATCCAGTGCAATTGACACCCTTAGTTGCAGTTAGTTATATCTATATAAAAAAAAAAGTAATTTTCAGGAAATTAGTATGGATCTAACCTCATAGCATTTGCAAATTCAGTTTTATTTTTATTTTTTGGTTATACAATGGAGGATAATGACAGACGGGGCACTTCATTATTTTCTTATTTTTGGGTTCATGGCACTTCCGTTAATTGATGCATACAATTCAATGGATGCTTTCTGCGTGTGAACATTGATCTTTCACGCTCCAGCTCGTAGCGTACCTTATTCATGAGTTGAGCTAGCAGGTTCTGGGCTTCTGGGGTAAAGACAAAGCTTTCATCTTGTAGGTGTACTATTTGAGTACTGTCTCTTCTCTCTTCTTCACTCTACCTGTAGAGTCTGTAAATTGAACAGAGTTTGTTCCGACAACTTCAGTCACCAGGTGCCAACAGCACAAGGTGTCTGCAAAAGCTGACTGTTACCAGTAAGTGGAAGGTGCTGGGTTGGAACTTTTTCTGTGTAGGATTGATGGATCATGGGTATATTAGGCTTCTTCACATCACACACATATGAACGACTATAGACCCATGTACGAATACCATTTCTTCCAAAGCTTCCGTGTCTGTTCCCAGGCGACCTATAAACAAAATAATCCTGGGTGGCTATACTATAGAGAGAGACTCGCCCCAACAGCCAACACATCATCCTATCAAGAATGAATCCCTACAATTTAAGGTTCAGCTGAAGATAGCCATATAGCCTGCTGTCCTGCTAACAATAATACCAGAATCTCCTTAGAGAAGGAGCATTTTCAATTGAGGCCCACCCAAGAACTGATACGCTTCTGTTCTGCCACAATAAACCCTTTTCCAGTTCTGGTGGGAAATGGAAGTGGGTGGGGTGGGAGATGTTGATATAAGGAAACTTCTGTACATGGAAAGCAAAGGCAAGGTTCTTTGCATTTTCTTGTTTTTTTTTCCAATTTGCATTTGTTTTTTTTTTTTTTTTTTTTTTTTTTTTTTTAAGAGTTAAGACAAAATAGATGGTGAATATATTTATGGGTCCACCAATTTTGGCTGCTCAGGTGCTAGTTGTGAGGATAGCTTATTTTCCGGATAGGACCACCACACAGCAAAAGACATGGATGCCGTTTTCCACGTACAATAAAAGACAGATTTGTTATAAGACCTTTCACTCTAACAGCTTAGATCACCAGAGTCATTTTCCATATATTCTTCAAAATTAAGTAGTGGGTTGTCTCTTGCTGCTAGATCCATTTCTACACAGAATGTGGTCCAAGCTAGAAAAGGGATAAATCATCTCCAGTAGTAAGAATTTCATCTGGTCGCATTGATCAGTGACAAGAGCAGAAGACATGGAAGGAAGCCTAGAAGTAGAAGATAATTAATTTACATTAATAGAGGGGTTAATACATATCTACATGATAAAATCAACAATCACAAATACAGATTTCCCCATTCCATGCCATGAATATAATTCTCAGGTATGTAAAGAGGGTTATCAAATCCCTCCACTCCAAATTCTCCTAGAAAAGGTGGGTCTGCTTCCATAGAAAAAGAAGAACTTGGGCTACTGCTTGAGACCCTATCTGAGCGCTCTGAGAGCCTTTGTATCTCCTTCTCTGCCTCAGAAAGCTGCTCCTTGAGCTTTAGTACCTGTAACCAATAAAATTCTCAATTATTAAACTAAGCAACTTTCATTTTGTTATATGGAAGCCAGAGGAAATATATATTGCAAGTAGGGAGAATACCCTTGAAAGATAATTTAAATTAATCTTATTTATTGTCTGTGGGTCCACAGTTCCAAGTATCCAACACTTAATGCATTTAGTAGTACAAATGAAATCAAAAAGCAAAAAATCTGATTCTGAGGCTCAAACAGCAACAGCATCAACCATTGCTAACAGCTTACAGTATTAATGCTTGTTTATTATCTCATCAGACTAAATTCAGTCCTTACATTTGAGAGAATCTTCATGGTGGGACCATCAATGGTTGTATCCACGTGCATGTGTACCACAGAGGTGCTAAAATATACAGCATTAGTGCACATTTAATAGCTATTTTAACAAATAAACCATTCTCAGATAAGCTTTGATCCAGCTGCATGCTGTCGATTTGCCTGCACAGCCCAGAGATCGATCATGCAGCTACTGATTCCAATACCTACCACCTTAACTAAGCAACTTTGTACGGACTGATAAGGATTGGATATGTGGGGACATGTTTATCAGTTGTCGTCGTTTGCCCAATCAGTTTGCATTCTTCCATGAAAAGGCATGATCATCATCATCATCATCGATTAAGATACTAAATTCTAAGAACATTTGCACCACCCTGATTGGTTTAGTAGAAGCTCCTCCCCGAAGCTCTACAAAAACAAAAGCAGCTTCTGCAAACGAGTTCATTGCCTGCGAGGGGAGCAGGGAGCTGAGCCAATCAGGATAATGTATGTATACGTACATCTTGGCAAAGGTTTTCTTTTCTTTACCCATTTTTTGATGGTATGCGTGCAAATTACGACTAACAGTTCTTGTTCTCTCTCTCTCTCTAGAGTAAGTTGACGAAGGGAAAGCTGCTTAGAAGAAAAAGGGGGAGAGAGAAGAAATTTAGAGGCCATTGATTATTGGTTCCTCCAATTAAAACCTTCTCTTGCAAATAAACATGGAAGCCTTACATTACACAGCTCACAGAAGCACAGAAACAGAGACAGTGACTCGCACGCAATGGTAAAAGAATGTTAGAGAAATATAATAAATGATTATCGCTTCGTAATAATTAACCTAAACAGTAGTAGTTTACAAGTTTCGAAGTTGGAAAAGCCAGAGGAGGAACACATCTTCATCTCATCGCTGGATGGATGAATTAACGAAAAGGATTACTAGTTAACACAGAATTATATATTGAAGCGTCACGTCAACTATGAATGAGTGGATCATTAATGGGGTGAGTTAAGAAAGCTAAGATCAGAGTCAAAACTATCTACGAACTGTATTGTAAGTTGTAACAAATACGAGAGGGAGGGAAAGAGAAGGACCTCTGTTTCAAGTCGGCATTTCTCCACGACTACACTTTCGTGTGCTGTCTTCAGCTTGGAGTATTCTTCCTCCAGCTTCTTATTCTTCCATCGAGCCCTTCTGTTTTGAAACCACACAGCAACTTGCCTGGGATCTAATCCAAGCTCCGAAGCAAGTCGGTCTTTTCTCTCCGACTCCAACTTATGTTCACTACCAAAATTCATCTCCAGAAGGCTAACTTGCTCGGCGCTCAACTTCCTCTTCCTGGCTCCGACGTTGGTGGATTCTCCTTTGTTCTTCTTTCGCCTTCGACGTGGTCTTGTTTCTCCTACACGCACCCACAAGATCAAATGAGTTTACGACCAAGAAGAAGAAGAAGAAGAAGAAGAAGAAGAAGAAGAAGAAGAAGAAGAAGACAGTGTGTATTCATCTATCAAGCTAGCTACTGACCTTCTACTACTGGAACCACTTGAGCATATAAGCTAGGATAGAGTTGAGAGATGAGCAGCATTTGATCGTCAACTTGAGGATTCAAATTGCTTGTCATCCTCTTCCCTTGTTCCTGCTCTTCTAGGTTTTTCTCTGCTTTAATCCTTTTTTCTGTTCTTTTCAAGTTACTTGTTTGCAATCTTGCTTACACACTAAGCTCTCCACAGGCTTTAATGGCGACCCTTTTTTCCTTTACCAGGGGAACTGAGGGAATGGATGGCGTAAGAGCAAACAGCATGAAACGATATTTATAGTGCCTTAGTTACGAAATCACCCTTGGCTTTCGTGTAATTAACACCTTACGGCACGGGTTGAGAAGGGGCTCAAAGGACCTTAAATGCCCTTGGGTGCATAATGACATTTTTCTGTGTTGGGTGACGCTAAAGGGGTGTTTCGGTCATTTTACAACCTGTCACCTGAGGACAAAAGCATGTTAATGCAATATTCTCCTTCTAGAGAAACAGAAAAGAATGCCTAGTAGGGCAATTTGGGAAGCAGAAAAAAAAGGAGGATGGCGTAGTGGGCAGTACGTAAACAAGCTTCCTGATGTGATGACCATCAAGGCAATAAAATAGAATAAAATATAAAATAATTAAATGAATGAATATTGATTATTGAACTAATGAAGCAAGAGCTGCAAATATTTTTTTTTTCTTCCTATTTTGACCTCCAGTGGTAAAAGCCATTGTAGTTGTAAGGTTAGGCTGGCCTACAGAGGGTGAAAAGACGAAAGAGGACAGGGATCGGCGTGAGAGAACCACAATATTAAAGAAAGGTTTGGAGGTGGGGTTGGGATCCCGAACCTAACCACCTCGAAGTTCTGAATCATGACGTACGGATGACCTCTGGATTAGAATTTGTAGTCATCCTTTGTTGTCCAATGGGGTGGTAGTCTCTCTTTCATTCCGCTTCTCTCTCTCCTTCTTTTTGTCTCTAAGATGACCAAAATACCCCTAGCTCAAGTGGTCTCGTGGGTGGGTCGAGAAGGGTGAGAGACTGAAAGTGAAACCCCTTTTGTGGGCCATTGGCCGGGTTATTATATTCCTGTTCTTGGATTGGAAATTTGAAATAACTCTTCATCACAACAATCAAAAATTCAAGGACAAGACAAAGGGTGGGGTGGGGGTGGGGGTGGGGGGGAGTTGAGACAAAGCTGACCCGGGTTAGTGGGGGTATTTTGGTCAAATAAAAAGTTCAACCCAGTGAACCGGAGCGGAGAGCCGAGTGAGGAGGGGATGAAAAGAGAGTGAAAAGGACAGGCTCCAGGCCAAGGGAAAAAGCACATGCAGTCCAACCTAAACCTTTACACGAAGCACCACCCCATGCCCTGTAGGGGGGACCACTGTATTAAATCGTCTGTGGTGGCACTCGCTGATTAGATCTAGACGTGGCCGGTAGCTAACCAAGGAGAAAGCAATCCCTACAAGGCTGCTAATAAAACGTAGCCGTCACTTAGCCATATTTCCAAGAACCCATCACTGTTGGGATGATCTAAGCTTCTGTCATGCATGCCTCCCTTATTATGTGGTAGAACTTTTACTTAAATAAGGTGACTAAAATCAGAGAGAACAGATATGTCAATACAACATTGAAAGTTGAAGCAAAGGTTATCCATGTTTGCTATATGTAGTGTTATGACCTAATTTCTCTAAATTTAGAGGAAATATAAACTGGGTTCGTTAATGGATAATGTTTACTTGGACTTTGGTGGGGACTCACTCTGCAGTCTGCACACTGCACTCTTCATCATCCATGATGCTGCTGATGCAACCTTATCTTATCCTTCCTTCATATGACCTGCATCTGGACTGTGGACACCCCTTATACACCGGAAGAAGAAGAAGAAAAGCTTTATCCTTGTGTTACATTTTAAGTAATCTCCACCAAATTTGTCAGCTGCCACTACCTTTGGAGAAAATTTAGCAAAGGATGGGTGTGCCCTGATAATTTGCATGTGTGTGAGGGAATCTGAATTCACTGGATAGGATCAATTTTTTCTCTACTTGCCCAATTGAGGCAGTGGAAACAGATGGGATACTTGTTCAATTCAGCCAAATGGTTTCCCCTCTTATGAAAAAGAAAGGAGTTGGTAAGCGACACGTGGAAGCAGGCGGGTTGATGACGTGGACCCATGGCAAAAGAAACTGACAGGTGGAATCTTGTAAATAATGCTCCCAATTTAACACGTAGAATGGGCCATGGGGGGGGGGGGGTCAGAATTGAGGAGTGCACTGATTTTGGGTCCTATGTGGACTACACAAGTGTCGCTGTACCATAGGCATTAAGTCAAAAACCTCCCCACAATTGATTGTTGACATCATCTTCTTCTTTCATTCTATAAGATAATGGGATACTCATTGGGAGGGAGATTTCTATTTCAAGTTGGCTCTAGTTTAAGCATAAAATGTATAGTTTATAAGAAAGATTTGGTTGGGATTGTGAAGATTTCATCTACTCTATATAGTAAAAAAGGATTAAAGGATTAAAGTAAAGAATGGTGTGGTAAGAAGGGATAAGGATCAGAAGAATGGCAGAGAGAGAGAGAGAGAGGTCTAATAGGTTGGAAATGTAGGTTAACTGTGTCCTACACAATGGTAGTAGTTTAATGAAGAAATAGTGAGATGGGTGGAAAGAGGATTTGAAGAAGATGCGCATGGGGTGGGGTTGGATTCCCCATCACATGGTGTGAGGAGTTGTTTAATAGGATTAATCAGCTTTTCTTGAGCAGGAAGAGTAGAGGAAATTAGGGATTTAAAAAAAGGGGGTGTCATGTTTATCCCGACACACCCCAGCCCCTGTTTCCCATCTTCCAACTTTCACATGAAATGCTTTAAAGCTTAAACAAGTACACATCCAGGCATCATCCATGTAGATTAATTAGCTAATCAAATGCCAATTGGCAATTGCTTGATTAAGGTGTGATTAAGTGGGTGGGATTAGCCAACATAAATTGCCTTTACAACTAAGCTTAAATTTGGAACCATGCGATGTGGGGTGATTGGTGAGAATAGGAGGAGCCCTTTCTTTGGCCGCTTGCTTCCCTTTTAACTACTTTAACAAATACTTTTCTTCTCAGATTGTCATCGAGCCTATTGATTGAATTGAATATTGATAAATAAAATTGATTCCCCTCAGACCTCAGTAGTCAGGCCTCAGCTCAGCAGTCTGCCTCTGCTTCGGTGCTTCCTGGTCTCCTGGCTTCCACCAATGACACCCCCAACGTATAGGCCGTACACCACAGCTTGCACTCACGACCGTTGGACGATCCGAGACCGTCCGTCTCGCGGCGGCCTCTCTTGGGCCTTGGCTAGCCTTTAGCCCGGAATATGCGTACAGTTGGTGGGTTCCATCACCATCAACCCACTCATCCCTGTTCTGATGGTGAGAAACTGAGAAACTGAAAAACTGAGAATGAGACGAAATGACCCACCCCACCCATTTCAAATTAGGTCTGTAAATAAGTGGGATCATATTTGATTTGAATCCGAATTTGATTCGGTAAGAACCGGATAGCAAATTGGGTCCGATTGGAAAAATTGATTCATTTAGTTAGCAATCAAATACGAATACCAAATACCCTGAATTGATCCATCACAACCCGATCCAACCCATTATATATATATATATATATATATATATATATATATATATATATTTTATCATGTTTTTATTACAATTTAAAACCAATAAGATATTCAATTTCGAATCATAATGTTGAAAATCTGATAAATCCTTATCGAATTCAGATCAGCTGGATTTTTTATCTGATCCCTTTATAACCCTATCTGAAACTATTATGGGACCCAATCACCTAGTGTCAACCAGTGGAATTGGAAATTTGGAATGAATTCTCAATTCCCCATTTCAATCAAGCCGCTGATGGCATTTTATTTATTAAGGAAAATTTATGATTTATCCCCCTCTCCCTTTTTTTTGTCAAAAAAATAGGAGATTTAATTCATTAATTGAAGAGATTATTACATGAGGGGAGCTGGCCGAGTTGAAATATATACTAAACTGGCCTTTACATGATATATAAGAAAAAAGATGGGCGGTTGGATTGAGATATCCCTCCTTACAAATTTCTATTGAATGTAATGTATTGTTCCAAACTCTCCTCATTTGTGGCTTTATATCTATAAAAATCCCATTAAGCCGAGAATCTGAGATGTCCCACCCCAACTCCTACCCGTTGTGGGACCCTCAAGAATGATCGATCATCAGTGATCCACACTTTCAGTTTTGAATGGGTAGGGAATAGGGAATAGGGAATAGGGAATAGGGAATAGGGATGTGTGCACCTCTGGATTAACGAAGGATAACAGATCAAATATTTCATCACACACACTGATGGGAGTTGGGCGATGTGTCTCTTCTCCTCGTAGTCAATTTTGTCTGTGTTGTACATGCCAGTGCCACACAAACAGTAATCTTCCGTGTTTCCCTCCTCCCATACTAACTTCCTAACTGATCGTCCTCCTCCCCATCTCCCTTTACCTCTCTCTCTCTCTCTCTCTCTCTCTCTCTCTCTCTCTTCACCCTCTCTGGAAAGCCGTGCTTAATATATTTGTTAAAGGGTAAAGCCCTAACACGCGTAAGGGGTGCGTACTGTACAGGGGGGGTCAGGATATTTTAACTTCGGATTTCAACAACCCTTGAATTACGCCATGATTTGCGCCATGACTTTGGTGGGGTTATCTGTAGTAAGAGCACCAAGTTCAAGGTGCGTCGTTTAAGCTATTAACCCACGGAGCGCACAGTAGAGCATGAAAATTAACCTAACCCCATATTACCCTGTCACCCATTAGTGACAACAACGTCCCTCAGCGCCACCATTGAGGGAAGGAGATTAAAAAATAAGGATAACATAGACTGGACTGACTGAGCTTTTCGTTTTTTTGCTATTGGAAGGGAAACCCTTAGACCATCGGCTTCACTAAAGTCTAAAGCCATGTAGTAGTCCACATTTATAACATTATTAAAGCAAGGCGGATTGTAACAAAACAAAGGAGATCTCTGTAACAGCTAAGTTAGATTTTTAAAGCATTAATAAATAAAAGATTCTAAGTTCTAACAATAAAAAAAAAAAAGTGAACAAATTTTATTAATTATATAATAATGGAGTACGTAACAACGTGGAGGGACGACAATCGTTACAGTCCAATGGGAGGGGATGTGTCATTTGTATCTTTCCTTGGCTATCCATCTTTTGCGGATTTCGAGCTGTCTTTCTTTCCTCCATTCTCGATCTGTAAGCTACCACCCCCTCCCCTCTCTAATGAGACTAATGATATGAGATGTGGAGCACATGCTGCTCACTTACTTTTATAATTTTATTATTATTATTATTATTATTATTATTATTATTATATTTTTTTTCTTTGTCAAGAAAGGTGTCGAGCTGACATGTTCCCATGCGTCATTCGAGCATTGGCGATAATCTATGGCAGCACTGATGATTTCTGGAAGGCCGGCCGTCTTAAACAGTTAAAACTGTTCTCAGTCGTCTCGTGATCCCAAGAAGATGGTTTTCCCTTCAATCGTTACTCCCATACAGCCTTACTAGTTAGGAGTGCGACTGAGTGAGAGAGAGCTGTCATACTCATACTCGTTATCATAGGGTGGCTCGTGAATACCGTGCGCCTCAGCCCTTTTAGAGTCAGGTTGGTCCGCAGGGCACGCACTCACACGCCAAACCCCTTCATTTCATTTTTATGTTCACAATAAAACCAAAAAAAAAATAAGGAAAAAGATGTCACTTTCTGTGGTGAGTGCTGTTGGCCCACGCCTTCGTTTCCAAATCATGTCAGCCCTGGAAACAGTTGCTCTGATTGGCTGATTCTGAATGGACGTTATATGATCCATTGAAGGTAATAAACCTAACATGAGAGGCCTAGCAAGGTGCCAACTGGCTTGTTGGTAAGGCTTCCTGCTGGGGTGTAGTGGAGGAGGCTTGGGGACCCGCTAGCACCGGGGTTTTAGGGGCCCCGGCAGCGTGACAATGACCAAGATGGTTTCGGCGAGACCATGCATATGGCAATTTTACAATATACTGACAGGATGGTTGAGTAAACATACAGTGCTCCATCAAAGAGTGCTTATCAATTGAAAATGTTTTAACTCTAAAACAATCAACTCCATCGTTTTCATTCTTTTTTTTTTCTTTCTTTTATGTTGTTTTTCTCCAGGCAATCACAGAAATCCCCCCAAATCTGAGGAAATAGCTTCCTAGTTCTTACTTTCTAGCATATCCATAGATGCATCACTCGTGAAATTGATGTTTAATTCTTCTTTTTTCTTTCTTTTGTTCACGAAATTACAGAAATATGGACCTTTTACCAAAAGGTTAAAAAATTAAAAAATAACCCAAACAACACAAATAACCCCTTCTTCATGCACTCTGACCTCCACCTCCCATCTTTACACATTGACCAGCTCAGACACCTGCTAATGCACATTGCTGCCACCTTCGAGCACATAAAGTTGATAACAGAATTGGGTACAATTACCATATTAGGAGAACAAATATGCTTTACAAAGTTTGAATGGGCAATATACCGGACCAAAATGGGAATGATAGAGGTGTAGGCATGGAAGAGAATTACTATAAAGCACAGGACTCTGGTAACCGAGAGTGGAGATATAAAACCAACCACCTTGGAAATAGCTCCAGAGGCCCATAAGCTTTTCTTTTCCTTGTCTTTTTTTTTTTCAGAACTCTAAACATCTCTAATCTACAAGGTAGGACGAGAAAATTGCTCAATACGGCCATAATTTTCATTTTACTTTTTCCACCCCCACCCCAACAATAGGATTAAACAAAGAGAATTTACAGATCGCGAATCCGATTTAGCGTTGGCAAAACAAACCTGCAGAACACCAAAGAGAGGCTTCAGTTTTACAATGCAGATTTCTGTCTCACAAGGTTCTAGGACATTTAACAATCTATAGATAACACATTAAGATCTGATTGTCACTTTATCTGTCACATAAAGCAAAGCTGAAGCTTTGGGGTTTGGATGCTTAGGTGAGAGAGTGCATAACCCATGAAAATGTTATATTAGATACCAATACCAAAAATAAATGTCACACAGGCTAAATTCAAACTCCAGGCAAGTGGATTATAAGAATATTACACCAAAATGTTTAACACACTAATGTTGTTTGAATTAGTGGGTGGAGACGAACCACCCCTGCTGTGGCTACGCCAAGAGCAAATGCCTAAAGAAACCAAGCAACCCATCTGGGACCAGAAATGAACTGGGAGCAAGGCCATGTATTTTTCATTCTTCTTTCTGATGTAAAACATTAGCTAGGCTATTATTACCATGAAGTGCTGCATGATAGATTCGCTTCTCAGGGAGGCCAATATCTGACAAAATAAGATTACCCTGTAGACCAGAAGAAACAACATCAGCACTCGGTACAAAACCCGATTAAGTTTGAAGGCTAAAATGCTAGTATAAACCCTAGAGCCATGTTTTCACCCTTAATGTGCATTTGGCCCACCAAGTAACCAACTTATGTCTTCAATTTACTTGGAAGCCCTCTTATATGAGGGCATACGCACAACCAGAAAACTTTCTACCAAAATGTGGATCTTGTTTAACTTTTTGTTCATGTGTGGACATGGGTTTGCATGTCTTCCTTTTTGTGTTTTTTAATTGCAAAAGTTAATCTGCAGTGCATAAATTGGGTCAGCAATAAATAAACTCTTTTATGCTGGGATATAAAAAGATGGGCAAAAAAGGCAAAACTCTTTGGAGTTCTTCTGACTCATACATATGGTAATAGTAGAGTGCAAAATTTTTGGCCCTTTGAGCATTGATGGGTTCCACTGTATGACAGCTTGTTGAAAATAGCCATATACACAAGCATCCATTATTGAGAGCCTAATACCATTTCTTTTACAGTTTCAAATGAAAAAAGTATGCATGTAACTTTCACATTTGCTTATTTTTAAATTGTTATTTTTTTAGGGGTGGAGCTAATTCTTGTGTTGCATGCAGTAAGGAAACTTGTAGCCTTTTATTTTGTCAATCACAAAAAATTTATTCATACAAAGAAAGGACTGGGGCCACAAACCTATGACAGAATGCCACCCTGAAACAGTAAAACCATATGGTTGTAAGGATGAACTGTTTCTTTCTGTGACTTGGGAATCATAAAATTCTAGAGATAATTTAGGAAGCTAGCATCCCCTAGTATTTAATGGGACAGAATCAAATCTCTGGAGCAGGCTCTAACAGACGTCCTAGCACCATCAGTGTAAAAGCCATTTTTTGAAATCACTTTAAAAAAGTTAATAAGAGTATAAACTATAAAGCATTACAATTGAATGGCTATATTACTATGAACAATTTAATTCCAGTCTATCATGGTGAACAAAGCTTGGTTTTATCTCCATTTTCACCTTATTCTAGCACCGACAACAATCTGTATCAGAAAGAAGAATCCAGAAATTAGACATCTGGAGATTATTCACAGGTGTTACTGTTACTGGGATCCCTGTGCACCCAGATAGATTTATTAAAGATGTATACAATTGATTTACTACAGTTAATAATTGTTAGTGTTTGGTCTGCCTGTTAGACTGATAACAGTCAAGGAAGAGAGAGAGAAGAGAGAAGGAGAGAAAGAGAGAAAGGAGAAGAGCAGAAGAGAAACAAGGAGAAGAGATTCTGGTTCGAATGAGAGAAAAAGTTCACTCTCCCATTCGGCCAGATGTATTTTACATTACTAAAATAATGTGGAAAAGTCACATATGCCCCTATTTAAGTTAGGGACATTAAATCTAACATAAACTTACACATCAGCACCTAAACACAAGCACAAAGACAGAATTACCCCTACATACTCGAAACTAACACTCCCCCTCAAGCTGGAGAGTATATATCATATAATCCCAACTTGTTACATATGTAGTCCACTCTCCCCTGACTCAACCTTTTAGTAAACAAATCTGCCCAGTGGTTCCCTGTGTTGACATATGCAATGTCTATCACTCCACTCAGCACCTTCTCTCTAACAAAGTGACAGCCAACCTCTATGTGTTTGGTTCTCTCATGAAACACCAGATTAGAAGAAATGTGAACTGCAGCCTAATTGTCACAGTAGAGCTTCATTGGAGTATCAACAGTGTATCCCATCTCCTGTAGAAAGTTCCTTAGCCACACTAATTCACAAGTAGTATGTGTCATAGCTCTATATTCTGCCTCTGCACTGCTTCTTGCCACAACTATTTGCTTCTTGCTTTTCCATGTCACCAGATTACCCCCAAGAAAAGTGCAATAGCCTGTGGTAGATCTCCTATCAGATACAGAACCAGCCCAATCAGCATCAGTATATCCTTCTATTTCAAGTTTTCCACCACTTCTGTATATCAAACCGCGACCAGGAGCCCCCTTTAAATACCTCACAATCCTTGTAACAGCATCCCAATGTGGAACCAGAGGTTTCTGCATGAACTGACATACCACACTAACTGCGAATGAAATGCCTAGCCGAGTGATGGTTAGGTAGTTCAGTTTACCTACCAACCACCGGTATCTACCAGGGTCTTCAAACACTGCACTCATATCACTGCTCAGCTTAGTGTTTGTTTCCATAGGAGTTTCAACTAGTTTAGCACCTAACAAACTTGTTTCTTCAAGCAAATCAAGAGCATATTTCCTCTGACACAAGTTAATACCATGCTTGGACCTTGCTACTTCTATCCCCAAGAAATACTTCAATTTACCAAGGTCCTTTGTTTGAAAATGTTCCTGCAGAAAGATCTTCAACCTATCAATGCCCATTTTATCATTCCCGATAATGACAATATCATCTACATACACCACTAATAGGATCTTCCCTGCCTGAGAGTCATGACTGAAGACGGAATGGTCAACTTGGCAATATTTCATACCAAACTTCTTTACTATCTCACTAAATCTGTCATTTGTTGACTCGGGCTTAAACAGTCTCCTCAAGCCAATCCCCAACCTTGACTTGGGCCCATAAATGGCCTTCTTTACTACCTCACTAAATCTGTCAAACCATGCTCGAGCAAATCACCATGCAAGAAGGCATTCTTGATATCAAGCTGATAGAGGGGCCAATCATACATCGCAGCAAGAGAAATCACAACACGGACTAAACCAATCTTAGCAACCGGGGAGAACGTCTTTGTGTAATCAATACCATAGGTTTGGGAATACCCTTTGGCAACCAATCTAACTTTCAGCCGCTCTACACTACCATCAGGTAAGTACTTAACCGTATAAACCCACTTACAGCCAACAACTTGCTTACCAGGAGGAAGAGTGGCGAGTTCCCATGTATGATTATGAGCCAGAGCTGAGAGTTCTTCTTCCATCGCATGGCACCATCCTAGAGAGGCAAGGGCTTCTTGGACATCCTTAGGTATAACAACAGAGGATAACAAAGAGATAAATTGGCGATGGGAAGTGGAAAGGTGAGTCAGTGAAACATAATTAGAAATAGGATGAAGGGTAGAATTGCGCTTACCTTTCCGCAAGGCAATGGGAAGATCAAGATCAGATACTGGGGTCGGAGCTGGTGTGGTAACAGCTGTCGGATCTGTCGACGATGATGAAGTTGGAGGTGTCGGTACATGTGGGCGATGTGTATACACGTGATGGATTGGTGGTCGTTCAACAGGTGGTGGCACCGGAGGTAAAGACTTGGTCACTGCGGGAACAAGAGGAACAGAGTCCACAACTGGAAGAGGAAGGGGAGGAGGTGATGAGGAGGAAGAAACATCACCAGACCCCAAGAAGAATGGAGTAGACTCAAAGAAAGTAACATCAGCACATACAAAGGAACGCCGAGAGCTAGGGTATAACACTTATACCCTTTCTGAGTCTGGGAATAGCCAAGGAAGATGCACTTAATAGACCGTGCATCTAACTCGTCCATTCCTGGCCCCAGATTATGAACAAAACAAACACATCCAAAAACTCGAGGAGAGAGAGGAAACGGAGACAAGGTAGGAAACAATGTGGTGAATGGGGAATGACCATCAAGGATAGACGTGGACATCCGGTTAAGCACTGCATCACTCCAAAAGGATTTGGGAACATTCATGTGATGCATGAGGGACCGAGTTGTTTCAAAGAGGTGACGATTCTTTCTCTCAGCCACCCCATTTTGTTGTGGGGTGTAGGTACATGAAGTCTGATGGATAATGCCATGTTGGTCTAGGTAGTCCTGAAATGATGAAGAGAGATATTCACGGCCATTATCAGAACAAAAAATTTTAATGTGAACACCAAATTGGTTGCGAATCTCAACATAAAACTTTTGGAAAATGGTAAACAATTCACTTCTTTCTTTCATTAAATAGAGCCACGTCATCCTTGAATAATCAACAAAAATGACAAAATATTTATATCCATTGTATGACACCACTTTATAAGGACCCCAAACATCTGAATGAACCAAAGAAAAAAGACTCAATACATGATTATCAACTCTAGGACTAAAGGGAATACGATGATGTTTCCCCAACTAACACGACTCATAATCCAAAACAGAAAGATGACTCAATGAAGGAACCAAAGACTTCAAAACTTTCAGTGAAGGATGACCAAATCGACAGTGCCATAGGAGAGGAGAGAGGGACGATTAGAGAGTTGTTGACGTACTTCCACCAACATCAAGATAATACAATCCACCAGCTTCATGCCCTCCACCAATCTTCATCCCCGTCTTGAGATCCTAAAAAACACACAAAGAGGGGTAAAAGGTAATGAAACAATTAAGAGACTTGGTCAACTTACTAACAGACATAAGAATAAAAGGAAATTTAGGGACATACAAAACTGAGGATAGGGATACAGGGTCCAAGTCAACATTAGCAACACCACAAATGAAGGATGTGGAACCATTAGCAAGGGTAACAGATTGTGATGTTGAGCAATGAGAGAGGGAAGAAAACACACCTAGAGTTCTAGTCATGTGATCGGATGCTCCAGAATCAATAATTCAGGGATGGGGTTTGGATGCCAAACAAGCCATACCTAAGTGTGCGGGAGTGGCCGTGTTCTGTTGAGATGTGGCATGTACTAACCTCTCATACTCATCACGGGGAATACTCATCACCTCCTTCCCAGCAACATCTGTGGATGTAGGAGGTACCTGATCGGCTAAATGGCTCTCCTATCTGAAGCTACTGTCAATGGTCACGGCATGATTGGCCCAAGTTGAAGGTGGACCATGCAAATCATAGCAATAATTGATGGTATGTCCATCCATACCACAGTGTGTACACCTCCTTGGACTCGAACTATGTCCTCTGCCACAGGCTCCCCTTGAATCTCGACCTCCAGTACAACCACCACCACGATTATATGTAGGTCCACTACCACCACTCCAGCCATGTGCCAGT